TTATCTTTTATGATTTTGTGCAACTTAATGGTAGAATCTGTAGATACATTATCTTTTATGATTTTGTGCAACTTAATGGTAGAATATGTAGATACATTATCTTTTATTATTTCTTCAAATAGTGTAATATAATCATCTCATAACGTTAATTTTATTTTATGTCTCCTACAAATGATTTAATTAAAATTAAAATATTTTTTAATTAATAATAACTTTAAAATACACCTATAATTTTTTTAATAAAAAAATCTGCCAGTAATTCTTTCAACTAAATTCTCGGTAATATCTACTTGGTAAATAAGATTTGCAGATAAATTCACACGTAAAATTACAAGTAATTTTTCTACAAATTTTTTTACAAGTAAACTTGCATAAAATATTGCATGGAGATTTTTTTTTTCTTTCAAGAAAATATGTTAGGTTCTTTGAAATCTCCCCGTATATTTGTTAAAATCTTACTTCCTTTATTGATGGAGTCACCCACTGTCGTCAGAGAAGAGTATTTCTATTATAAAATAAAAATAAATGAGGAAAACAAAAGTCAAATAAATTTTTGTAAATAATTCAATCACGTATTTGAATTTGTAAAAAAAAATAAAAAAATAATGTGTGAGAAAATTATTTTAATATCATGTTTAATAATTAAAAATATGATAATTTTTTTACATATTTATCATAATATAGTTATCCAAAAAATGTTAATGGCGATTTATAGAGAAATAGGATTATAACAACGTGCTCATATTGGAGTTTTAGGTGCCCTAAGCTTTTGAAAAAACGTAAATAACAATTTTTGAAACAAAAGTATCTAGTCAATTATAGTCAATGTTTCAAATATTAGAAAAAAGATATAAGAATGTATATATTATAACATAAATTATAAAATAATAATTTCAGAATTTAAACTATTATTAAAAATATTTACTAAACTATTATATATTAGTATATTATTTTTTGTTTAATGAAATTTAAACTATAATTTAAATTTTAAATTTTTTCTTATATATTTTTTCTTAATTAATAGTTGAATCTCTAATTATTATTTCTAAAAAATAATCTTCTAAGTATTAAAATATTTTATATATATATATATATATATATATATATATATATATATATATATATTGTTAACCTATTGTCTCTTGCGCCTTCTTCTCCAAATTTTCCTATCTTTTTTGGCATTTAACACTAGGTTTATAGATCATAAAGCAAAATCACCATTGACTATTTTAGAATTCTTACCTTTTCTTGTTCTATGCTTCATTTGCATGTAGAGACTTATTATGACAGCATAACAACGTGGCAGAGATTCTTTAACCTAAGTAAAAATCGTTATTAACATTTTTTAAGTAAAGTCTGAGCAGCTGAAACCTTTGACTATGCTTAACCTGCAACTGTTGTTTTAAGCTCTTGAAATTCCAATCTAAACATGCTAACATAGTCCTATTCTTCTATAAATTGATATTGACATGTTTGGAAAGACCATATTTTAATAAATATAAAAAAATACTATATTTCTAATTATTAAATACCGTATTAAAATATATTTTTCATTATGTGTTCCTTTTAACTTTTAAAAATAAGAACAGTTAATTACCGGGATTGTACCTTGTTTGGCCCACACTAATTAAATGCTGATGCCGTTACTTTGAAATTGAGACGACACGCTAATAGCTCAATTTTGATGACGACTTTAATGAGGAACAGAGACTCATTTGCATTGATCCTCGAATCAATTCCTTCACGTGTAGGCTCTTTTCAAGTGTGTGACATTATGATGATTAATTTTTGTGTGTGAGCTGGTACATGAATGGAAGATAACAAGAAAAATAGACACGAATTTTCTGTTGTGAGTTTATTTATAATTTTATTTTCTTTTTTAGAAGAGATTAAGTTATAAAAAATTAAATAATCATTTGAATGATTTTAAAAAAATACTGCTTTAATTGTTTTTAAACAATTCAAGTTAAAGAGGATCGAATAAATTATTTTATACAATTAATTTTAATTTTATATAATAAATTTAACTAATTTCAATTTTATATAAACTAAAAAATTTAATTTTTCAATTATATTTGATTCAAATCGAACTGTTAAAATGATTTTGAACTCCAATTATCTTTTCAATACTATTTTTAACTTTGACAATTTTAATTTGTGATATTTTGAAATTAAGTAAAATAAAATAAACATCAAGTAAATTAACATATATTTAAATACCAAGTTTAAATAAATATGATTTTGTTGTCTACAAGCAAAAAAAAACCACTGGTAACACAATTGTAAGATAAATCCTGAATATTGCAGCAAAATTTGCATGAAGTACTTGCCGATTTTTCTGTGAATAACAATATCAATATAAACTTTTGCGGATTTTTTTACAAAAATTTCTTGCTAATAATTTTATAAACAAATTCGTAGAAAAATTAAAAAACTTATTACAGATTTAAGCTTGAAAAAAATATAAAAAAATAAAATATTTTATAAATATTTTCCTGCAAAAATTATTGCAAATAATTTTATACACAAATATGTAAAAAATCCCAAAAATTTATTAAAGATTTAAATTTGGACAAAAAATAAAATAATTTTTAAAAATTTCTTACAAATAATTTCAAAACTGTGAAAAATCTGAGAAACTTACTTCGGATTCAAATTTAAAAAAAAATTGCAAAAATTTAAACATTTCTTAAGATTTTTCTGTAAGAATTTATTGCAAATAATTCTATACATAAACATGTAAATCTATATCCGCAAGAAATAATCACATTTTTAAAAATTTTAAAAAATCCATAGCAAATTACTGTAAAAAATCCACAAAAAATAGCAAAATTTTACTAGTATTTGTTATTTAATATTTAATTTATATTATTTTTAAAATGTAAAATCTTTATTATATTTAATTTTTCACATTAAAATAAATTTATATTTATGTTAACATTTTCTTCTATATTAATATTTTAAACTCTCAAATCTTAACTTTAGTTATTTTATATTAAATTTATTTTTCCATCTTAAATTTTAGCTACATACACTTTAAAATTATTTTTTAATTTACCTTTACTACCAAAATCCATATTAGAATAAAAAACATTAGTCGTAAGAATTGTCTTTTTTAGGCATTCTTTATTTAATAAAATATAGATTTTTTTGAGACAAATATTTTAAACTTATATTAATAATATAATATACTATTTTATTAATATATTATTATAAAATTTTTATTAATAATTTAATTTAAGTAAAATTAATCTTTTCGTACCTTAACTTTAGAGTAAAATTTATTTTAATTCTTTAATTTTTTTATTTAATTTAGTTTTTAAAGTTTTTTTTTCATGTTAATCTTTTTTGTTAACTTTATTATATGGCCTAACAAAGATGCCTTAAGTGGTGATGAAATGACCTAATGTCATTTATTTAATCTAACTTAAATTTTTTATTTAAAAAATTATTTAAAAATAATAAAAATTATTTAAGAGGTATTGATTCTTCACTTCTCCTTCTTCTCTCCTCTTTTCTCCTGCTCCTTTTTCTTTCTCCCGCTATTGCAACTCCTCTTTTTTTTTTTATTATTGTAGCTCCTCCACCTTTTTTCTCCAAATCCATCAGCCTTGTTTTCCCTTCTTCCAACTTCGATTTTCCCTTATTGCCACCTCAAATTTCCCTTCCTTCAAATTCCTTTCTGCAACTTCTCTTCTCCCTCCTCCTCCTCCTCTTGTTTTCCTTCAACTCTCCCCAAATCCACTAGCCCTTTCTTCCCCTACCGCAGCCTTCTCCCCTTGCCTCTCCTCTCACATCTCCCTCATCCCCCTCATCCTTTCATTCTCTAACCTACTAGACATTGTTGCCTAAGTTACTGTTTGTTAACACACAGATTGTTACTCTTCATATACCATTCTTAGTATCACATCATCAATTCTTTTTTTTGTTCAACAAAACATGAAAAATCCTAACCCAAAACATAGAAATTGCAATATGAAAAAACACAAAGTGAATTCCAATCACAAAAAAAAAAAAACACAAATTGTTGCATAACCAAAAATTTTTAAGTTGTAGCAATTTGTGTGAGCTAAAAAAGCACTAAAATCCTTAAAAAAAAAAAAAGCTCCAATTTGGCACATCCATGTGTATTCACAAGCCTCAACTCATAAAAAAAGAGAATATAAAAAAAAAGAATATACTCTACCAAATCTAGTGTTTCAAAGTTAAAGCAACACACTTTGAAAAGAAAAATAAAATTTAAACACTACTCTAAACGCTCCAATAAACAAAAATAAAAGATTTAAAAATATAAACACCAAATGACGTGTTAGTAATAGTAAAATTTTATTAAAAAGAAAAATATTTATTATACTTTTATGATTCTAATACAATAATTATGTACTTTTTTTATAATTTTTTTTATTTATGAATACTTAAACTCAATCCTAAAACTTAATGTTGACAAAACGCATAAAAAAAGTCACAGTCTTGCCCAATTTAATATATTAAAAATGTGCATATATAGATAAAATTCAATAATTGAATTTATACAAGAAAATGGGCAATGCTGTGTTTAATAAAATACAAAGAGGCATGCAGCTGTAGTTTTTTATTTTATTTTTTGTGCGTGTAATACTTACTCTATGTTTGGTGAAGTAGAAGAAGAAAAAATTTAAAAAGTCAGGTGAGAAAAATCTAAAATTTGGAAGTAATGTTTGTTTTCAATTTTTAGAAGTGTTTTCTCTTTTTAAAAATTAAAAATACATCTATTTTTAATTTTTAAAAAGAGAAAACTCTTTCAGAAAATGAAAACAAGCTTTTTTCTTCAATATTTTTTTCCCCTCTCGTCGAGACAAAGCATTAGTCTGTTTTAGACTCTTGACTCAAAGTTGGTGTTCAAAAAATTAAGGGTGCACATCCGCTGAGTTACTAAACCAATCGATTTGATATCATTATCATATTGCAAGCAAAATACTGAAATATTTACAAAGCCAATGGTCAATCATTGGATATGCAATTTGAACAAATAAATATATGTAGATCGAATACAGAGGGTGGAAATGAAAGGTTGAAAAGCAACAGCAGGTTAAAAATGGTTGCCTTTTGTGTCATGAGGTGAAGTAGCCCAAAATACTACAGTATTTCGGTTGTCTCTCAAGGCGAACAAACCACGATCTTCCAAAGCCTGCGAGCTCTTCTCACAATTTTGCTAATCTTACGGGCAATGAAAGACGGGATCAAGAATGGAGGAGTTGCAATGGTAGGAACAGAACCATGCGTGACTAATTGGGGAGCACTTTCCGAATGAAATGAATTCAAAGTAGATGCCTCCCCACTTCTCCGCAGATAAAAACTTCTGCTACCGACATCCGCAATCACTTCTGATTTATCCAAACCTTGCAAGCAAAAAGCGTTAGCCAAATAAATACCATCTAACAAAATTAGGGGAAAAAACCTCTTCATATATATAATAAAGGTAGGGTTGCCATATTGGTCAACTTTGTCATAGCTACACTTTTCACATTTCTACAAACATTAAGAAGTTTAAAACTTTAATCGCAAAGTTAACATGTTAAAACCTTTTAAGTAATATTAACTACATTATGAGTGTACAGTTATGCGTTTTGTGATATTTTAGGGGGGAAAGAAGGAGTTTGATATAGAAATGTTGGTTATCAAATTTTCGCTTACTTTGGAGACTGAAATAGGAGTGATGCAATTGGAATGAAGATGCCATATTAACATCGATCTTGGGGCTCCTCCCTTCTTCTCTATATTTATCGACCACACGCTTTATTGTCTCCTCCACACTGGACCCCAGTTTAACCATGGTTCGGACTGGTCCTGGACTTCCTTCAACCGTCACATTAACCACCACCTTATCTTCCTTGTCGTACCCCTTTAATACAAAAAACACCACCAAGAGGAATACGTCTTTTCTGATCAGTTATACAACTCTCTGGATACAAAGTAATCGATGTAATTAATTGTTATTGTTACTGGGGGTTGATCAAGTCATTATTTGCAAGTCATGCGCGCATGTTACTTCACTACACCTACTATTTAAATCTTCATGACTTCTTGCTCAGTTATTTTAAAATTAAGAAAAATTTCTTTCGATGAAATTAATTCTAAACAATTAAATATTTTAAGATATATACATAAACTAATTTAAATAACATTTTTATTATATTGATTGTTTTATATTAAAAAAATGCATAAGCATTGATTCTTCAACTTCTGTTAGGTAATCTGGATGGTTGAAAAACTTCCCATGCTTGTCGTAAAGTAATCAAACATCCTAATATTGAAAGGAAGTTAATTTGTACTTTCATGTAATATATAAAATTATTTTAATAGAATGAATTCAATTAGTTTTAAAAAGAATGATTTATTATTCAGAAAAAAATAAATTTTCAGGAACCTCCCAAGTTATTTTTTAACAGCAATTCTTGCGTGGACTTAAAGCACAACCAATCACAGGTTTGGGACACAATTTTTAAAAAAATAAATCATATATACTCTCACTCAACTTTGACTCTGTTCCAAATTTGACCTCACCAAAACAGTACTAACTTTGGCAAAAACTTGCGGAATCTGTCCAGTTCGAGACGGCATCAAGAAATAGAGTCGGTTTAGTTTTTACGTAACCTTGTTTTGAGGTTTACGCTATCTCTAATTTCCATTTCCCAAAATGAAAGAAACCATTCAGGCTATTCGATCCTGATTTGATTTTAGAAAAATTAATGTGACGAAGAAGCAACGAAAGAGTTTATAAAAATTAAATCTCCGTAATAGAAACCGGTTAGTAAAGCTGAGTCTAATTAGTAATTAACCTGATTACTGTGAATCCGCGGAGAGGAAAACGGAGAAGGGGAAGACAGAAATGCATCCGAAAACGTTTGAGGGCGGAAGAGTCTGCCTCTACTCCTCCAATAATGCCCGTCAACGTTACCGCCATTGTCACCGTTATCACGGCATGAGAGCAGCGGCGCGGATGAGCAGCGCTGCAAGATCTTTATAGGCTTTGACTTGTTCTTTGTTCTTCGACGGGGCGACGGGAACGGATGCGGCGGCTTAATTCTCCGGGCGGCGAGCACCGGCGATTGTGTCCTTTGAGACATACAACACAACTTATAAGACAGCGGTTAGATGAATGAAAATGAATATATGGTATGGTTGAAAGGATAGGAATTGATGCGGAGAGGGTAACTGCACTGCACTTCTCAAGTTCTCCCCTTAATGTATTCGTATCATCCTATATTCCTGTGCTAATGCTATGTGGGTCCCGCCGTCTTTTTATTCAAAAACTATTTATTCATTCACTCCGTGTAAGCGTGTATATATTTATTTATTTATTGAGAGGTAAAAAAGAAAGAAAATAAAAATTAAAAATGTGATGGTTGATAAAATATTATTGGTACTTTTGTTCCTTCTTTTTTTGGGTCAGCTGTCGCTTGGGGATTTGTAGCCTTCTCCTTTTCCCCTCCTTTTCGTTCCAACACTCGGACATGAACATACGTTGCGCACCGGCCACCCATTTGTCTACTTTTCTTCCTCTTTAGGTCAATGGGTATTTTGATTTTCTGTGATAAAATAAAGTGAATTATCGTTGTTCTTCTTTTCCCCAATAATCAAACTCCATTGTTTTAGCGTGCTTAAAAATAGATAATTCTTTTTTATTTATCATGGGTCGTTTTTTTATGTGATTTTATCATTAAAATAAGTGATATTTTAAAAAATTAATAAAGTTGAAATGCTTTTGGGAATGGTTTTTAACTTGCAAATTTGGAAGAAAGTATTTCATAGTATTTAAAAAATATATAAAAAAATTTATCGCAAAGATAAATTAATTATATCAAATTAACTATCTTAGTAGTCATCTGAATAATAGTTGTCTTTTTCTGTGTTAGTGGCGATTTTATTTTTCATGCATTGTTGTGGAACTATTTTTTTTCAAAAGGCGTAGAATTACTTTTTAAACAATTGAAGTTAGAAAATCTTTTTATAATGACCGAAACTCAAATGCAAAATCACAAATCTTGATAGTACTATTATCCAATTAGAACTAAATCAGATATTATATTTCATCTTCAATTTTATTTTGATGATTTAAATTAACATCTGGAGTTTTTTAATGAGAAAAATTAACATTTAAATAACCAACGTTATTAGTTATATGATGAATTTTTATTAAAAAAAAATACTGCTTTCATTTTTTATATACTATATTTAAAATTTATCTTTTATAATTATTTTAACAGGTTCAAAATTTAAACCTTTTTTTAATATGTGACTCGTTTCCTATTATAGTATCCAACCTTTACCGTTAGAGAAATAATAACTGTTTAAGGAGCATGGTAAACTACCATGTTGTTAAATGCTATTTGTCCTTTCGTTGTTACCAAAAGACGGGCTTTTTGTTACCGCGTGACCATATCACGTAGCGTTATACTCTCTGCGATCGTTTTTGCATTCAAAATAAACGACCAATTGACATGAAATTCAAAGCATATTGAATGATAGTAACTATTTTTTTATTTTTAAAAATTAGGTTCCAAACTTTATACGAATAGGCCATCTGTTTATAAAAATGAAAGTTTAAAATGGATAGAGAAATTAAAGAGAGAACGAGGAAAAGAAAAAGAAATATATTAAAATATAAAAAAATCAGCCTATTTGTCTTTTTCTCAAGCTTAATCAGGTACATAAGTTTATGTATTTATTTATTTATATTTTACACGTTACGTCTTACTAAAACTTTAGAGTCAAAAGTGTTTTTTAACTCGAACTGAGAGTTAGAAATGCTTGGTATAAGATTTAATTTTTTTTAAAGATAATATTAGCTCTATTTTATTTTATTTTATCTCTTCCGTCGTATGTATGAAAAATGTTTATAAATCAAATAAAAAAATATTTATTCACTGTAATTATTAGATTTTCATAGAATTAGATATAATTTTTGTAATTGCATTCCTCTTGAATTTTTTAATTATATTATCTATTATATATATATATATATATATATATATTAATTCGTATCCTGTCATCACATCCATGTAAATAAATTATAAAATTTAGAATATTTTTATTTGCGATAGAAATTAGATGTTTAATTTTATTTTTATTTAAATAAAAATAAAAATGAAAAAAATAAAATAAAAATTATTTAGATAAATATAACCACAATCTTTCACATAGAAGAGTGAAAATTGAGTAAACTAATGGGAGTGTGGAAAGAGGAGGAGGGAGACAAGGTGAGATTCCGGAGAATGAGAGAAGTGAGAAGTAAGAGAAAATTGAGTGGAAGTGCTATAAGCATCTTTCTTGAAAGAATTTATTCTTGTATTGAAATATGTGTTTTGTGGTTCTTACATTGTTACGTTAGCATTAAGTAACTTAAACTCAAATTCATTCCAATGGTAAGAAATTTCAAGAAATTCACCTTTTATATATTTTTATTTTTACTCATTTATGTACCAAATTTAAATTTAATTTAAAAAGGACAACTAAATTACAATAAAACAAAATGCATTACGAAAAAAATACATAATACATAATACGTAGATATTGAAAAGTAAAATAAAGCAATAAAAAATACATAACATTACATAAAATTAATTTTCATCATTTTGATTTTCGAAACGTTTCCAAATATATTCAATAAGAGCAACTTGAAGTTAGCGGTACATTTGTTTGTTATGAACGTCTACTCTCCTTTGAAGGTATGTTGATCTAAAATTGGTATGAGCACCTAAAGTTTCTTTAGATGTTGATATGTCATCACCTACACCATTGTAATCAATATAATTTTGATAGGTGTCTCGCTCATCCTCGACAATCATGTTATGCAATATAATACATGTATAATTATGTTTTTCATTATTGCAGCATCCTAGAGACGTGCTGGACCTCATATGAAATCGAGATTGAAACACTCCAAATGCATGTTCTACATCCTTCCTCGTTGATTCTTGTCGTTCGGCAAATAATTTTCATTTTTCTCTATGTGGCATCGAGATGGTCTTCACAAATGTAGCAAAGTCTAGATATATGCCATCTACTAGATAGTAACCCATATTATATTAGATTCTATTCACTGTGTATTGCAATTTCGGAGCAGTTCTTGAAAAAAATTGCATTCAACACAGTAATATCATTATTCAAACCTACAGTGCCAAAAATGCATGCTAAATCCACAAGTCTTGTGAGGGCACAATTTCAAGAATGATTGTTGGGTTTGCAGGATCACCTTGATAAAATTAACCTTTCCACGCAACTGGACAATTACCTAGCATTCTAGGAAACCTACATGCCACTCCCATTTGTAGTAGTTGTTCAATGTCTACATTATTAGGGCATCTCAGATACTCCTTCCCAAATATTTTACAAACTCCTTTCACTAATTCGAATATATTTGTCCACAAAGTCAATGTCCCATAAGCCAATATATGAAGAGCAGTTGTGCACTTTTGCTATTCATCATGATTGGTCAAGGCATCTACAACTCGCAGAAACACAAGCCTTTGCATACGAAACCTTCTTCAGAACCGAGTATCTGTGTATATTGGATTTTCAGCGAAATAGTCATTGAATAATCGTTCATGACTTTCCTCACAATTCCAATGAACCACTCTCCTTCTTTGGCTAGATCTTGTGGTGTTGGGAATTTGTTGTTAATAGCTTTGTAGTATAAACCTGATCACTTCTTCGTCGATATTGTCTTTAAGATACTCATCTACGAATTGATCCAAAAGATCATCTAAATCAATTTTTAGATCATCTAAATTAATGTTTCCATCCATTACGTTTCTATCTAAATATCAAATAAGAATACAGAGGAAATTTGTGTGAAAAATGTGAGAATGAGCAACATTGGGTACCAAGTATCTTGCGAGTAAATCATGTGTGCAACAACCATAACACCATTTTATGTGCTCCCGTTTCTTTTATGATTAACTACTTGTTTGTAGTAGCTATTATATTTTTGAACTGGAGGATGGATACGATTCCATCGAGATTTCAATTGACTGGCTTCTCTTTTAGAAAATTTTTTGTGCTCTTCATCGTTATATGCTTCCTTTATTCTTGCCCAATATTGGCTAAGTGATTGGTCTACTCCTACAATTGAATCCTTTAACACATTGAGTCACGATTAGATAGGAATCACATTTTCTTTCATTGGAAATACTATGATAGATTTTTTTTTAGTTGAAATTTCTTCTTCTTTATCTGATTAAATATTGTTTAGACCAATTGGTGATTCAACTTAATTCGTAGGAGGATGATCATTGGGTAACGAAGACCTATAATATGTGTTTGGGTTAGTTGGGGTGGTGGACACATAAAAACTTGTGGGTTTTGAGAATTGTTTGGGTTGATTGGATATGATGGATATAGAAAATGTTGAAGATTTGGAGCATTTAGAGAATTTTCACCAATAGGTAATGATTGATTTTGCAAAAAAATTGAAAGAACTTGAAAGAAATACTCAAATGGCACAAATGGTGGTGTATATTACTACAGGAAGTAATAGAATTTTATAGCCACATCATTGAATGGTAACTTCTACAAATAGAAGTCCAACAGGTGAAAAAAAATGAAACTAAATGTTGCAGCTTAAGAATCTTCATAAAATTGGAAACCAAACAGCAACTTCTACGCATCCCATGCCCTGTACCAAATCCCCTGCACGGCAAATTCATTTGGAAAATAAAATTGGACTTAAATTTTTACAACACAAATTAATGCATCACAACAATTTTGACCATTAATGGCGACTTCTACACTCCATGACGATTGAAGCAAGTTCTCAGAAACTTCGACGAGGATCACTGGCTCCTCCCAAAAGAGCTGGACGTAGTAGATGGATGTGCTGCCATGGAGATGAGACTACACAAGAGAAGAAACCATTCCTTATATTAGGAACGCATCTTCTATTGAAGAAACTGCAAATGCCACGTCATACTGTCTAACGGTGAAGAAATGTAATTCTCTGCATTTCATTTTAAGAAACTGTGTACGAAATAGCCGCTAAAGATGGCCTAAATGGGTGAGAAGGGAAGAGTTGGAGAAAGAGCAAGAGACTAAAGAATTGAAAAAAAAAGTGAAAGTTTGCATTATTTTTTTTTATCATTTTCTTTATTTATTTTTAAGTAAATTTATGTTTGTTTAAATGAAAATATAACTAAACGTTCACAATGAAAAAAAAAAATTCAAATATAAAATCATAGCTCGAGTATGTGAAATAGGAAGATCTGTCAGAAATTGGAACATCTAGTTTCAATTCACTTAAACAAATTTTATAAAAATACGAATAGCTCCTCTTGAATTCACTTAAGTTAGCTAATTTGGTAACATTTTTTTTGAAAATTTTATAATTTGCTAAGATAACTATTTGGACAACGTGCTTGGTTTAAAAAGGATTAGAAGTTTCTCAAGCTGGTCTCTTCTATAGCGTGTGCGAATCAAATTAGAGACATAATTGCAAACAATTCATGTTCTTTTTCATTTAAACTAATATTTTGGAATATTTGGTGGGTGATGCCCAGTACCTACTTGGTTGTGCTATAGTGGTGAAATTGCCAGTGCCATTTTTGGCAACGACAAGATCGAACTTGGTCTCATTCAAAGCACTTTGGAGAAGCTTTCGGTCTTTGGATGTTGTTTTCTTCACTCCAGGCACTTTCTTAAGCATGGCCAAAGAGTGGCTAACATGATGTGATATCTTAAGCAACTTCTTCTCAATTCTTTCTTTCACTTTGGCCTTGCTGTAAGCAAACCCGTCGAGCTCACGTGTACAAGTTGGTCATTGCGCCACTTAGCAGAGACTGCAAGTCGTGGTGGCGCTTGGACCCTATTGTGCTTTTGGAGAGATCTTCGGTGTGGTTTTGAGCTCCACCATGCTGGGTAGATTTCGCATTAAGGGAAATTTCAATTTGCTTAAATAAATTGAAACTAAACTGTTTAATTATCGCTAAAATGGAAGAGTATCCACCATTCCACCAATTATTTTATTAAACAAACGGCAAAAGGGGCGAATCCGATAAGATAATGCACGAGGGTATTGAGTCATTGCCTCTTCGATGTTTTCTGGAAAAAGTTGGAATATTTCGGGCATAAGTTGTTTTTATTTTGTTTGTTTGTTTGTTTCATACGCTTGTTGAAAAATGACTTAAACAAATAAAATTAAAATACTTTATTTTACTTAACTCTACCCTTCGCGGATCATAATTCGATTTAGTAACATTTACTTTTAAAAATTTCGCAAATAATGTATAATATTATATATATATATATAATTATTACCTGTTTAAGAAAAATTTCATACATAAATTTAATTAAAAACAATCAATTATTTTATTTTTAAATAATATTAAATAAATACTAAAGAACGATAAAGTCTGTGTTTACGAGAAAAAAAAATACAATAAAGGATAATTTCATATTTAAGAAAAAAATTCACACCCACTGTATAAAAATTGTTTATATGTGATATCCCATTAAGTTAATGCTTACTATATTAATTTTTTTAATTCTAAACTTGCATAAAAAAATGCATTATTTTATATCTCAATACTCCTTTTTTTTTTTTTATCTTAAATTTATTTGGGAGTTTGAAGGAGAAAAGATAAAAGGATATAGATATATTTTAATATTAAAAATATAAAATTAAAATATATTTATTTAAATCTGAAAATTTATTCTCTCCTGTCCGCTCTTTTCAAAACCGGCATTTTCAAATACCCCATTGAAAAATAAAATTAAATATTAGTCTTGCTTTTTATATATGGACCACATGATTTGTTTTTTAAGTATTAAAAATATGTATAAAATTTTAAAACAAAAGCTAGTAAGCATGGATTGGTAAGGTCAGTGTAAGTTCTAGTAATGACGATAATGTTCACAATGATTAAATGCTCGAACATTACTATAAGCCCGTCTAGCTCAGTCGGTAGAGCGCAAGGCTCTTAACCTTGTGGTCGTGGGTTCGAGCCCCACGGTGGGCGTTTCACTTTTTTCAGTAAATAATGACAATGAATGTTGTGCAACCTTGTATTTGTTAGGCTGACATTTGTCTAACGCTCCTCGAGTTGTGTTTTGGGGGGGACAGGGTATTTTTTTTTCTGCAGTCCATCATGATGCCTAACAAGTCACAATAGATAACATATTTTTCAATAAAATTAAAGAGAAATGGGAGTAGAAAAGATATTGTACTTGGCATTCAGTATGATCATCGACCTGCTAACTAACCTTTTACTTCGTTGGAAGAAGGCCAGAAAACTAGAATATATTGAATATTTTCTCCCACCAGTTTTATGCAGTCAGTGAAATTGGAAATGAGCTTTCTCATTGTACCTCATACTTTATGGCTTTCTGTTTTAGGCACCATTATTATTCATTAAAAATATCAGTTTCTCAATCGTTGTTGTACGCTGCTTTTCTACGGTTTTTTTTTTATCCTTTCATAGTGGAAAATCGAACGGAAAAAACCTGCCTACTGAGTATCATTGGGTGGCATATAGAAAGATTCAGAAGGTATTTCTCCGGCTGAAGTTACAACAAAGTATTATTCTTAACAATATACCATACATATAATAACTATTTCTTGAAAAATAAACGGTTTCAAGTTTGCACAAAATTCTACAAGTAAATCACCTGCAATCTTGGTTGGAGTAATGGAATCAATTACTATTTGTTTCTGTCCAAAATTGTTAATTTGGGGCCCAGAAAATGACATTCATGCCCTTCGCCAAACTAGTTTTCTGTTGCGGGCCTTGAAAATCGACCAACCCCATTTTCGTATGGGCTGCTGAGATCAAGATTTTGGGTCCTGAACCGAATTCCAAAAAAAGAAGAATTGTATACGTGTCAAATAGAAACTGGAACCACGTAAGTTCGTTTGAAACCACACGTTGAACAGTTGAAGTTCCCTCCAAGACTTGTGACTGTTAGCTGGTGGCGTTACGATTCACGGCCATGGCTTACGCACCGTCGCCCATGTCGGTTCAACCGGGTCGGATTCGGACCCTTAAAGAAGGTTCGCGCGAAAAAGCGGGTCCCGTTGTGTACTGGATGTTCAGAGATCAACGAGCGATAGACAACTGGGCTCTCATCCACGCCGTTCGTGAGGCCAACAAAGCCAACGTTCCCGTAGCCGTTGTTTTCAATCTCTTCCATAGCTTTCTGGGCGCGAAATCTCGTCATTTAGGGTTCATGTTGAGGGGTTTGCGCCAATTGTGCCACCGCATGCAACACACACTTCATATCCCCTTTTTCTTGTTTCGGGTAACTCCCATGTTTTTTTTTTTTTTTTTTTCAGATTTCGCTTCTCTTATTAACTCTTCAAAAGTGTTTATTTTTTTTTATTTTTTATTGTAGGGTGAAGCAGAGGATACTATACCAAAGTTTCTTAGAGAATGTGAAGCTTCACTTTTGGTGACGGATTTCTCACCGTTGCGGGAAGTACGAAAGTGTAAAGAAGAGATTTGCAAGAGGGTAGGCGGTTTTGTTACCGTCCATGAAGTGGATGCTCACAATGTTGTCCCCCTTTGGGTTGCTTCTGATAAGTTGGAGTACAGTGCTAGGACCATAAGGGCTAAGATAAACAAAAGGCTTTCTGAGTATCTCATTGATTTCCCTAACATTGAACTTGAACCCCCAATTAGGAAGTGGGTGGTCACTGACAACCACTCCATTGACTGGGATGATCTCATTGCTGATGTGTTAAGGTTAGAGTTGTATGTGCTTATAAGCTAAAATCAATTCATGTGGATAAGCTGAACCCCCTGACATGATTATTTTTTGAAAAACTAGGAGAGGAGCTGAGGTTCCTGAAGTTGAGTGGTGTGAACCTGGGGAAAATGCTGCAATGGAAGTGCTAATGGGAAGTAAAAATGGGTTCTTGACTAAAAGGTTGAAAAATTATTCTGTAGATCGCAACAACCCGTGCAAACCCACTGCACTTTCTGGCTTATCACCCTATTTGCATTTTGGACAGATATCTGCTCAGCGTTGTGCTTTAGAAGCACGTAAGCTGCGAACTTCACACCCTCAGGTATGTTTTACTTGCCCAGTAAATACATTTTTTCTGTTGCTTGATTTTATTTTCTTTCCAAAATTTGTGACAATTATCTTGTGCCTTATGTTTAGTTTAACTTTCCTGTTCTTGACTTGTGATCTAAAGGCTATTGATGCTTTCGTGGAGGAATTGGTTGTGCGGAGAGAGCTTGCTGATAACTTTTGCTTTTACCAGCCTCATTATGATTCATTGCAAGGAGCATGGGAGTGGGCTCGTAAGACCTTGCTCGATCATGCCTCTGATAAACGAGAACATATTTACTCGTGAGTCACTTTTATTTGTTTCTAACTCTAATGTTTTTGTTTACTTGAAAGTTCATTTAGTTTTTGTATTTGTAGGAGGGAGCAGTTGGAGAAGGCACAGACTGCTGATCCCGTAAGCTAATCTTTCATGGATGACAATATTTTCCCAATTAAAATCACCTGACAAGTGACAATTTCAAAGACTAAAGCACTTTGTTACTTGTTTATGCTTCAGATCTTTCTAATGGGCATTTTATTGTTTTGTCTTAATGAGCATTATATCGTTCTGTTGCAAATATCAGCTCTGGAATGCTTCTCAGCTGGAGATGGTTCATTATGGGAAAATGCATGGTTTTATGCGGTAAGTAACTTGATGATTTTTTCTCCTTTTGTTGCTCTTCGATTTGCACATTCTAAGTTTATTACACGTTATTATTCAATGAAGAGTATACATCAACTCTATTTTTTCACCCTTACAGCTCTAGATCTTTATAAGATCTCTTTCCTTTCATAATAAAATGAATTATATGAAAATCTGATCACCATTGTTTGAAAATAAATTATAAACCCACGAAAGGAAAACACGACATAATAAATGCGAGTCTATCACTCTATCAACATGCAAAAGCATCGTTAAAAGCTTCCACTGCTATGAAAAATGTTTGGAGACAACAGAAGGCACAAATAAAATGTAGTTTGTTTGGTTCTGCAAATTGCGTGTCCATGGATTGGAAGAAATTCCCTAATAATCATCAATCACATGACCTTAGGCAATAAATATCCTTGACAAGACTGCTCAGCTATAACATTTGCTGAATATCTTCCTAGATATGCTGAAATCTTTCAGGTCCCTGAGATATTTTGTTATGCATGATTTCTTATATTATCTTAGCAGAGATAGACCGTATCTCTTACAATATAAAAATAGCTTACAAGGGAAACCTTAATATAACTGCGTTTGTTTCCTCATTATAAAATTTCGTGTACAGAATGTATTGGGCCAAGAAGATACTTGAATGGACACGAGGACCTGAAGATGCCCTTGAGATATCTTTATATTTAAATGATAAGGTAACACTCTTCCTTTTGGTCAACATAGACAAGTAATCTAATTACGGTGTGATTTTCATAAGAGGAAGGTTGTTACAATTTGTATAAATGATAGCAATTTCAACTGACTGCAGTATGAATTAGATGGGAGAGATCCAAATGGTTATGTTGGCTGCATGTGGTCAATTTGTGGGGTTCATGATCAGGTTCGCCTCTATTGTTCTCGTTCACTATAATATGAATATTGAGGAGGAAGAATGAAACATAGTATGTAGGCTGTTGTAATTACCTTTTCTGCGTAGCTGACTTGTGCTTTCCTCTTATTTTTTTGAAAACCAAATGAACTGTAAAATTGAGAGCTTGCAAAACATCATATGAAAATCAACTAGAATTCTCAGTTTCGGCACTTAATTCTTATGATGTATTTCAGGGTTGGCGAGAGAGGCCCATTTTTGGGAAAATCCGATACATGAACTATGCAGGCTGCAAAAGGAAATTTGATGTCGATAAATACATTGCATATGTCAATAAATTAGTTAGTGAGCTGAGAAAGAGAAAGGCTGAAAACTCGCTATCTCGAAAGGAGAAAGTACCACGCCGTTGTGATCCTGAAAACTGAAGGAGCATATATATGCTTCTACGTTTCTTGGCATATTTTGTTTTTAGGCAGAGTAGCATGGTAACGTGCCGTTGTTTGGCTTGTGATATTTGAACCAGGGAACATGATCCGCATTCTTGACCACTTTGTTTGGATGCAATGATTTAAGAATGTAAAAAAAAATTGAAAGAAATGATTTAACAGAAAAAAGGTGAACTTTCCTTATTTGGGTGTCATGATTTATGAACTTCCCTAGGTTGGAATTTTCATTTTTTATTGAAACACATTATACTGATTTTTTTAAATCCAAAATAAATGTCTTTTTAAAAACTTTATATCTATTTTTACCCATTTAAATATCATTTTTATTTATTTTATTTTATATATAATTCTTTATTTTATTTAGTCCAAATGAATGGAAAAGAGTTTAGTTCATGGAAAATGAGTATAATTTTTAGAGGAAACTAGTAAATTTTTGCACTATTATTAAAAAATTAAAATTTAATTATATTTATCTCTATAAATATTAAATATTTTAAAATAAATTCTTCTAAATTTTTTTATTGAAATTTAGTTTCTAAAAAGTTAAAGAATTAAAATTTAGTCTCTATCATTAATTTACTTCTATAATTAATTTACCTTTGTTAAGCATTGAGTTGATAAATATAAAATTAACTCAGTTATATATGGAATCACATAATATTCTATATCATTTATTTTTTTAATTTTTTATTATTTAAAATTACATAATTATAAATAAGTCTTTAAATATATTTTACAATTACATAAAAGTTTTTCTAATTTTTTTTTCTTCCCACATCCCTTCTCTCTCCTTCTTGCACCCCCTACGCCGCTCCTTCCAACACCCCTCTCCGACCCCCACTCCCCCTCCTTCAATTTCAAATCCCTCTCCATCCATTTTCCTCAACCCCAAAACTCTCCTGTAACTCCTCTTTTAATCCCAATCTCACTCCCTCACATTCAAACTTCTCATGTAACCCTTCCTTATCCACCTTCCCTCACCCCTAAATTTCTCTCATAACCCTTCCTTCACTCTTTAACCTTAAACCTCTCCTGTAATTCATCCTCCTCCACCTTTACTCCCTTATCCATAACCTTAAACTTTTCCCATAATTCCTCCCATTTCCCTTTACCTAGAAGGAGGTGTGTGAAAAAAGTGGAGTTAGGGAAAGGAAATGGAAGCGAGGGAGTAAGAGTGGAGGTTGGGGGATGGAGAGTGAGTGGGGGTAATGGTGATGATGATGGTGGAGGTTAAGAGTGGAGGAGGTGAAGCTCCAGGAGGGAGTTGGACGAGAAGAAAAAGAGTATTTATAAATATGTAAAATTGTTCAAAGATTTTTTTTGTAAATATTTATTTTAAATAATAAATGCAGTACTAATTTAACTTTTTATTTGTCGATTCAAGTTAACGGTAAAAATTAAATCTTAATTATTAGTAAAAAATTTTATAAAAATTTATCACAAAATATTTAATATTTATAAAAATTAAAAATATAATTAAACTAAAAATTAAAAAAATATATCTAAATAAGGTCATATGCAATTTTTGTGGGTTTGCATGAGAACAAGATATTTAATTTTATATTGCTTATGTAAACCTAATGTTGTTTGAGAAAAAAGCAAGTGAATATAGCTGAAGTAAAATTACTTCTTCCTTTAAGTGAATACTTTTGCATGTCATTTTTTCTCCTCTACGTTCTCAACAAAAATTAAGAGATAATAAAAAAATCTTCAACTATTTATTAAAAGAATATAAATTGAATCAAATAATTAAAATTTGAGACAAATTATAATTTTCTCTTCACATAAATAATTTTTTATAAAAAAGAAAAATTACTTATTGCAATCATTATAAACAACTCTAACCTCATTTTTGAAATTTGGATCTTCTACCATTATAATAGAAACTATATAGTCAATTCCATTTTTATTTAAACAAAAATAGAGAAAATAATAAAATATTTTTTCATGCAATATTCACGTATCTTTCCTTAACTTTATGTTCTCTCCTATGCCTAATATTTCTTTCCCAACTTCTATATCCAACACACAACTCCTCTCTTTCTCCCTTAACTCTCTTTTTTTTTCATGCTCTATATCCAACTCTCTTCTTTCTCTCCACACCCCACCTTTCCCCATATCTATCTCTCCCCTCTTCTCATACCCAACCTTTCCATCCCTTTTCCCCATTCCTACTCATCTCCAACCTCCTCTTCTCTCATACCTAACCTCTCTTTCCTCTATCTCATAAGAAATACATAAGTAAATTTTGCATAATTTTATTATTGTTTAAACAAAGATAAAATTGAATGTCTAATTCCTATTACAATAAGAGAATTTGTATCCCTCTTCTTTTTCTGCGGCCGTACACTTTCACTTCAAAATCAAAACTCCTCTCTATATAACCAAACTCATTTCATCATGTCATTTTTTATTTTTAACTCGAGTAACTTCGATCACAAAAATAATCAATTTTCAAAAGAGTAGCTATCATTTACATGTTTAAAAAAAAAAGACAATTTAAAACATAACTAATATAATTTTTCTTAACCTAATATTCAGTCGCTTCAATAAAATTAAATTCCTTTAAGTAAAAATAAATTTAAACTTCATATTCTCACACAAACTGGAAATCATCCAAATTCAAGTTACTTGTAACATGAGCCACCATTTATCCGGTGCACAATGACATCCTAACCTCGACGTTAACAAAACCATAAATTAATAAGCATAGACAATACCGTGAATTCATATTTTATAATTTATATTCTTGTTATATCAATAGTTGATGAAATCAATTTTTTTTGGTTCTCACCGGTGGCTTATTTATTTATTATTATTATTATTATGGAGGGGAGACAATCTCTGTTCGCCAAGAACTATAAAGTTCATTCCGGTTAGTAATCAACTAAGATTATTCAGGTTAGGCTTTTTACAAGGAATCGAATATCCAGAATTTGTAATATAAAGATGATTAAACTATTTGATTACAACACAAATATATTTTACAAGTGAGCATAAGGCATTTTCTAGTTCTACAGTCCTTAACATCATATCTGGATATCATCTAATGAAAGCTCGTGCGTCGTTATCATCTTTAATTTCTGCAAAAGAAGAAATAGCATGCAACAATAGTTATGGAAATTGCAATTCCTGTGGAGGAAAACATTACGTTTGGCATTGAAAAGGGCAAAACTTCAATACCGAGATAAACTCTGCAGGATCATCGAGACTTGATGAGCCAAGAATAATTTCCCTCTTCAGCTTTCCGGTAAGCTTGTGACAAACCCTCAGCTGAAGGTCAAAATTTAAATAACATATCAGATCTCAAAAACGGGGAAAAAAGTAGTAATACAATCTCATTATATGTGTGTGTGTGTAAAATCAAACCTCAGATCTGGTTGCTCCACCAACAATGAATAAAAAAATTCGTTGCCCCATCTTCTTAAAATCACTCGATGAATGTCGTAGTACAGAATCGCTGTATGCAAGCAAGAAAATATAAAAAATTACTCGTGAGAAAGTTCCCGCTTTATTGTCATTTTCAACAGAGATATTCTATTTCCCTACAAATTATCTACATAATAGCAAGCTTATGCAAGCCTACCCAACTCAGAAGCAAGGGGGAATAATAAGCAGCCACATAGAGCCAGATGGAAGAACAGGGTTAATGGATGAAAGAAAAATAAATTTATACATCAGAAACAATGATTAGATTCCTGGGTACTGATGAAGAAAGAAAATAAAACCTTGAATATCCATCATCAGAACCTCGCGGTCGAGCCCAAGTTGGTGTGCGTCTTGATCTCATTGAATGAGGATTTTGGTTTACATGCCCAGAAACGGGTGTGCCGTGGTAGGACGGACTTGGGTCATTCAAACAAGGATAATCTTCCTTTGACAATTCATTTTTCGTGAGTTTTTCAATCAGTTCCTGAATAATGATCCGCTCATCACACACGAGGCTATGAAACTTCAGGATAAATACTAACCAATATGATATCATAAAGAGATTATTCTAATAAATTAAAAATTACTCATCATATTTGCCTTATCTTTCTCTATATTACACAATTTTCATGATATTAAAAGAAAGAATAGCAAAATGCTTTCTTCTTATTTCCCGTTTATGGCGAGAATTTTGGTTGGAATCTATAAACAACCAACTACATCACTAACAGGCGACTTTCATCCTTATGCTATCCTCTGAAAATTTCATCACTGAATGCATATTCCATGGGAGAAGAATGGAATATCATATTAACATTATTTTTACCTCTATAATGGGAAAAAAGCGTGCTAGTTGCCATTTCTCTTCTTCACCAGGACGCTCTTTCCTTGCTGCACGCTTCTTCTGACAACTTAAAAGAACACTCTTCAGACAATGTAACGTTTAAAAATCATATATTTAATTTAGAAATCACCTTTACCTTATGGATATCGAACTTAAGACTGAAAGCAGTGGTCAAACTTTTTTTGGTTTCTGGTTGTCCCCCAAGCATTCTCAAATTATGTACAACATTCATATCCTCTTCTGTCAGTCGTGCTACCTGAGAAGCATTTGGAAGGTTAAAATTGGATAACATCATTACAGGTGTTAAGGTATATATGATCAACGGCATATTTATCTTTAAAATATAAAATGAACAGCAAATGAAAATCAAGTTGGTACCCAATATGAATGAAACCGTACCTTCATCAAATTCAGACCCTTTTCTCCTTCAAATTTCTCGGGATAAACAGCAGCAAGAATCATTAAGAGGCGCAACTTATTCTCACGACTTATATCCTGCACAAAAGTGATATTTATATGAAATTTAAAAGATGAAACAGGGAGAAATCGCATCTCTAATCTCACTACTCCTATCGCTAAAAAGCTTTCTTATTTTAATATGTGAATTGTTTGGGTTCAAGGAACCTCCATTTCCTTTCTCCCTCCAAGAATTTCTTACTTCGTTCGTAGTAAAAAATTTGATCACTTCTTTTGTTGTTGCATCTCCAAAAACAAGATCTTGCTCCAGCTGGCCAAGTTCCCGCAGTCCTGACTCCCTAATTATTCTGTTAATTTTTCCTGCAATCTGGACGACAAAGCCTATCATTTATGAAGTTATGCCAATTGGCACCCATGATCATAATCAGATCCACTGTATGGTTAAATGAATTTCCAAGTCCCATTATTCTTATGGACCTAATGTTTAAAACAAATAAATGAGTTCCTATAAATGTTAAGATAAAAAATAATAATAATTGGGTCCCTGTGATCCATAAGAACCAAATAATAGACTGAAACAATAGGGACTCATTTATAGTTTTTAAACAGTAACAAACTGCAAATTAATTTAACATTATTATTTTCATTCGCATGCAATTATCAGAAAGCAACTATCAGAAATATCTAAAAAACTTGAGCGCAAAAGTTTATTTATTCTGTCATCTATCAGCAAGAATTATGATAGAAGCAATAATATTTCGTTATTAAACTGGGAGGTGGTAATAAGGGAAAAACAAAGCTAAAATAACTGCCCAATCAGGCAATTAAAGTAATGGCATTACCAGAGAGTAAAATAAGATTTTTCATTGAGGACAAACGCGGATTGTAGAACAATTCTTCCAGGAAGTTTCTAAGTGTAGACACCAGATAGCAATAAAAAAAGTTGTATAAAATTTGCATTAAAAAAAACTAACCTCTACATGGAGGGAGAGTTTGTCAATTTGTTCACTGTATTGTGGAAGTGCTTGAACCATCTTTTGTAAGTCCCTTGTCGACATTTCACCACTATATAAATAGAACACAAGTCGATAATTTATGTTTATTATGACATTTCATCAATCAAAAAACAAGAAGTTTAGGCTCAGTTAAACTATTATTAGTTATGGGCCAAATTTTCTCAACAACAAACCACACATGCATTTGAATTCCAACCAAGGACTTGACCATTTTACCCAACAGCGCAGGCTTAAAATTATTCAATAGAAAACTAAGAGTTCTAAGTAATATATGCCGTCCTTGCAATAATAATTTTATAAAATTAGATAAAATTACTTTTGAATATGAAATGAACCCCGCCCCCCGCCCCCCCCCCCCCCCCCAACATAAGCAAATATTTAATTTCTAGTAAATTGAGTTCAGCATTACTATCCTCTTATATAACAATGCTATTGCTGAGAAATCAGGAGATAATTATTGCTCACCTTGAACCATGTTGGATTTGTGCAGCTTTGTTCTTTGAAATGAAGTTGGTCATCTTCTCATGCAGCCGCTCACTAGCCTGCATGGTTATCAATATCAAAAGGTATTCATGTTACTTATATCTAGCATAGTAAAGGCATAAAGCTGGACCTACATCTGCAATATGTGCGTGGCGAAGCTCAACCCATACAGGATCATGATCCTCCAAAAGAACCTCTTTTCTCTCAGGTGGACCACCAGATTTACCAGGAACCTTAAAAATGCAGTAGATTTGCGTTTATTTACAAGATACACAAAAATTCAAAGACAGAAGGGGAAATTGTAGAAGTTACTTCATGAACATATTTATTTCCTTCCATATTCAGCAAATCATGACACATGGCATCATAAGTCCATTCATGTATCACCGGAGCAATCTACAAAATCAGAATAATATGCTCATTATAAACAACATGACTGGCCTTCAAAAGGATATTATTAATCAATGATCAACAAATGAAGCTAAGAAACCTGATCAATAGATCTGTCAAGAATGAGCAATTCACAGGTCTCTGTCTGAGGAAAATTAGGTATACTTTTTTTATATTTCATTAGACAATCCCAAACCCCAGCAGCAAGCTTCGTAGGAATAAGATCACGAAAAGTAGTCATTGTGGTTGCGTCTAGGGATTTGGCAGCACGGAAGCGAACAGAAGGAAATTCCTAAAAAAACATTTACAGGCTTCAGAAGACTTCTCAATCACGTGTTTGAACAATTATAAAGAACTGACTACAATTTGTATCCTTGTCACAAAGAGTACTATCCACATACTCTTAACGAAGCAAAAACTGTAGCAATTCGTTTTGCCATCACATTCAAACATGCAACACCTTTATGATTATTCTCTTCATCCCCAAATAGCTCCTCCAATGCTCTGTCATTATTTGTGATGAAACCCTGCATTAAAATGAACAAAAATGCAGCCCAAAATTGAAGCCATCCAATAGTGGGATGATGATGGGATTAGAAAATGATGATGAGTTCCAAAAAGGATATTGTAAAAGATACACATGAATGATTAAAAAAATTGCCAATTTGCATAGATGAACTTTCTAAGCCATATCTTCTGGCTGTAAACTTTTCACTTCTTGTATGGTGATTCAATTTACTAACCCTCAGAAACAGTAATATGCAATCAAGTATAGTTTGCTTGCTAAGTTTATTCAGTGTTTTCATGGATGGCCCTGTTTATATATCTAGGGAAGGTTTTCTTCAACAGCTTATAGATTCTAATTAATTTCACTGGAAGATAATCCTGATTCATCACTAGACACTCATTCATGGCTATGCGGAACTGGACCAAAACAAGAAGCACTTTACATGTCATGAGTTTTGAAAGTTATTAGCAACCAAAGAGGAAGAAAAACAATTGTATCCATATTGAAAATTGGTGATATATATTATAGATGGAAGGTGAAATAAATTAAAGTACAAGTGTGCAACCACATACCTGGCTATCTATAGGAAAATATTCCAAATTCATCTGCATAATGTCATCCAAATAAGGGGGGTAAAAACAATATGAAATGACGTTGTTTGGGCACAAATATGAATTTAAGCACAATACAGTTTTTAAACACAAAATGTTCACCTCTCTCAATGCGCCTAATCTAGTTAACACCTTTGTATCTTTCTTAATCTCTGTAACTAATTCTCTGGAAATAGTTGAACTGAAGAAAACAAATGCCCTACAGGAACATGGAATAAAGCAGGCTTCAAAACAAATAAGTTGAACCTGGAATGAATTGAACACACAAGAGATATTATAATGATCACCACATACTTCCTGTATAAGGGTGTCCTTCCAGACATGTCTGACAAAAACATAATTACACTGCCAACACAAATGGAGAGAAAATCACTAAATATGGATCAACAATAAAAAAACGAATGTGGTATATTTATCATTCATTGATTTACATTACAAATGAATAATTAGAAGGAAAAGAGATAGACAAAGCAATGAATCTTCATGTGATCTGTAGAAAACACTAGCAATATTCAAAACAAAACAATAAAATTAAAAAGTAAGGAAATAATTCATGACATGTTTCAAAGTAAACAAAAGAACAAAATGAAATAAAGAAACCTTTTAATTAAAATAAAATAAAATTGGAAGCTAATTAGCAAAGAATTCAGGAGAGCAACCATAAAAATAAGAACAAAATCAATAAATCAAAGTTTTCTAAAATCAAAACCCAAAAAAAATATTTTCCCTAAAAGACATTGTAAACCACGTGTTATTGAGACATCAGTTGCAAAATCACAACAAACTGCATAATAACAGGAACAAAACAGAAAAGCAGATATGTTACTTCTCTCTGGTTGGCTGGATGAAATATATAGCATCCATGGAGGGCAATGGCTGCCGTTGCTTGTATATGTCTTCAACCACTACAAAAAGAGCAGCAAAATCACATAACACAGAACAAATAGAAATAAACAACAGATGCCTGTTGGATGCCCCCAACATTGTGAATCTTGGAGAGGGTCAGATGTAAATGACCTTACCTTATAGAGGTGTTCATAAATTGATGCAATCCAATACAAACAGCAAAAACTAAATAGATTTTTTACTTATAAAACTTGATATTTACTATCGAAACAGCATGGAAAATTAAAATAAGAGGAAATTATGGGTAAAAACAATGGATTGGTTGTAGTAAAAAAAATGACTGCAAAAAAATCAATCTTGTGATTCTTACATGAAACACCTTCATCAGTGATATCAGCCATCTTGCATGAGTGAGACATTATCTTTACAGTAAGTTTGTCCATTATTAATACCTGTAGGCAAGCAACCCATGAACCAGTATATGATGGTAATCAATAAGTTCAACTTTCACTTCATACTTCTTAGTTCTTTAATTCACCTTCAACACTCCACTCAAATGTAAAATATGTTTATACTTGACTGCATGTGTGCAAACATGCATGCATATTTACCAGCATTTATTGCACAGAAACTAGTCTACAGTGCATAGCACATCCAGGAATAGATATCTAGAGGCAGCTGAAAAAATACTCATGATGATCTCAGTTCGAATAAAGATCCAATGAAAAAAGCAAGCAATTTAGACAAATAAATTATCTAATTGTAAACTAAAAACTTTAAATGAAACACACATCCAAAGTAAAGCTAAATGAATTTGAGGTAGAATTCATTAAACTAATGGCATCATATACCTTCCAAGTTGATTTGGAATCCCCTGTTCTTGTTGATCTCATCATTTCATGTAATAATCCTGGAGATAGCATTATTAAACAGAAATAAACAAGTTCATTTGATCATAAACTATTAAAATGTTAAAGGGAACAAAAGGAAAACCAGAAAGGATGCAATACTTGCAAAAGGTTGGGAAAATAGCATCTTTTCAGAAATAAGAACTTAAATAATTCAAGATTTGTTTGAATCAGTGTATCCATTAATGCAAAGGACAAGAGTGTCGCATTGAATTTGGTGATGACGCTAAAATACTAATTGTAAAGAAATTCACATGACATATACAGTAACAAGTTGATAATTCAACACTTTAAAGAACTATAAATGATTTGAAATTTCATCCATCATGCAACTTTCCCCCTCTTCTTTTTCTTTCCTTTTACATGAACAAAAGACAAAAGGAAAAAAAAAAGTGAATTACAAAAACAGAGGATAAGATAACTTATTTAAGGTGGGGGGTACAACCATCGAAGTCATCAATCTCCCAGCATATCTGCTACATTGGATTTCTCTTTCATTATTTTATGGATTAGCATTATTTGAATATTTAGAATATTGTTGGATTATTGAATAATATTGATAATGGAAATTGATATACAGTGCTGAAATTATGATGGATAAATATTATTCTGCTTTTGATGTAAATAGCCCATGATGAGTTGGGCTGCTCACTTGGTGCGTGCTGAAAGGTCCCTACTCTCACCTGATAACTGCCTCCCCATTAGGCAGTTTTGACACGCTTATTATATGCTTGTCAAACAGAGAGCAGTTTTTCTATAGCTTTCAGGAATTCTCTCAGTAGCGCAAAGATGGATTCATCTTTCACGCCACCTAAACAAATTCTAGCATAATTCTCTGGATAGATAATATGATGAAACATGCAACGATATCGTGCCTACATGAGAACTTTAACAGCACAAAAACCATGTTCCAAACTCAATAGACAGACCCCGAAACCTCTAAAACGATACATGAGGAAGTGCTTATTTGAACGCACAAGCTAGTTGCCTTAACGTGCTTGTCATATAGCTAATAAAAAGTTAAAAAAAAGAAAAGTAAAAGTAAAAAATCGTGATACTGAGATTGTGATCAAACAAAGTAACGGCGTGGCAGAATTCGGAAACGACGAATAATCACTGAGGACTAACGTCTAACGTGATCGTGTTTTGGTTGGGTAGCATGTGTAATTAATTTCAAAAGCATAAGTGAATAACCAATAATGAAACAGAGCAAGTTACAAGGACGAGGAAAAGTTGTTGAATGTGTCGAGAGCAATAAGCGAAATGGAAATAACAGGGTAGAAAGTAGAAGAATTAAAATACAAATGGGAAAGTGGCTTACGCTCGCGGGTAATTTGCTTGAAACTTTTGCGGTCACCGCCATAAGAGGAAGAATCGGAATCCGACATAGACATGCTCCCTTTCTCACACTTGATTGATCTCTCTAGGGATCCCGAGCAAGGCCACGGATCGTCAAACTAATAATCACAAATGAAAAACAGCGGCACCAGAAGGGAAGAAAACGATTTAATTGAACAAAATTGGTTTTAAAGCTTAATTAGTATTTCAAATTGAAAATAATGGTAATGTAATGAAGGATTTATTGGTTAATTAAATTTGAACAGGAACGTATGAACGATGATTCATGACGTGTTCTGTTGAATTGTCCAAATTCCAAAGGCCGAATTCAAGCTCCAAATGGATGGTGTTCGGGTCGGATCTCTTTTCCAGAAGCGGAGTGGACCGTTGGATGACGACGCCCTATCCTCGTAAAAGGGAAGAATAATTCAACTTTTTTTTAAATGCTTTATTTTGTATCTCTATCGTGCGGTATTATTATATCTAATATTTTTATATTATTCATTATTTATATAATACAGTATTAATGTTTTTTAAATTTATATATTTGCATGTTTGATATTCAATTTAATGAAATAAATTTTTATTAAAATTAAGTTTAAAAGTATAAATAAACATTTAAAATACAACAATTAAATATTTAAAAAATAAGTCACACATCATAAAAATATTACTATGAAACTATCAAATTTAAAATGATCCTTTTCTTAAGATTATAAATATTTTTTAATCAATTTCTTACTAAAAAATATTAATAATTTTATAAATGCATTGATCGTAAGTATCTTTGAAAAGATTAGTTAAAATATATTTAAGAATACGTTTAATAAATATAAGTTAATCGTATTTAATATTAAATTAATTAATTAATCCTATATATAGGATGAGTAATTTAAGTAGTTTAAAATAAAAAATACTCGTAACTCGTATACTTGAGGTTTTTTCTTTTTTTACATAAAATATATTTAAATTAATATCAATTTACAAATATACAATTTATATTTTTATGGAGGGGGAGTTCAAATTTTTTGGTTTTTTATTTTTGTCAAATTCAATGAGCGGGTGTCCCACAAGAATTATTAGAGTCCTATTTTTATTGGTTTCGGATCCTCTCATGTTCTAACGTAAATATTAGCCTCATGTTGTTATTCGTTTAAGCAAATTTTATACGGTTTAAGCGAATTAAAAATGGCTTAAGCGAATTATGTAGAAAAATGATAAATTATATAGAAACTGATAACATATTATTAAAGGATAAAATTTTACAAAATTTATTATCAAAGTCAATTCTACTCATTTAGAAACATTTAACCGTGGCAGCAAAACATGAATAAAAAGTCCATTTTATTCCATTCCATTAATGGTACACAATTGTTCACAATAAAATTTATCCAAAAAAAAATTCAAGACATAGATAAGTCAAAAATAAAAGAAGTTAAGGCATTCTATTCCATTCCATTCATATCAAATATCATTCAGGAATAAATAGGAGAGGATAAAGATAAAGAAGAAGCTAAGATATTTTATTCCATTCCATTCATATCAAATATCATCTAAAAATAAATAGAAGAGGATGAGTGGAATTGACTTTGATAACAAATTTTATAAAATTTTACTCTTTGATAATATGCTATCAGTTTCTATATAATTTATAGTTTTTTTACACAATTTGCTTAAATCATTTTTAATTCGCTTAAATAAATGGCAACATAAGGCTTATGTTCTTGCCAAAATATGAGAGGATCCGAATTCGTTTTTATTAGGACATCTGGTTATAGGAAGCACATTAAGCGTTACATTGCATTATTAGTATTTATAATAAATAAATAATTTATTTATTAAGATAAATAAAAATAGTTCCAAAAACATTTATTATATTTAATGATTAAGATAGTAATTTGCATAAAAGAATATGCTGCAATTAATTAAACAAATTTTTTATATTAAATTCAGAGTATAAAAATTTTATAATTAATATATTTTAAAAATATTTTTATAATTAATATAAAAAATTCAATTATAAATACAGCTAAAAGTAATACGGTGTAATGGGCAACTCTAAACAAAGGCCTAACATTAACAAGGAATTAGATCACGGACTATAAGTTTGGACGCGTAGATCAATAATACACCTCCCCGGCACGTGGAGAACCGTTGATTCTGCTAGAACCTTCCTTGTTCAATGAGGGAACTATTGACGGAAAGGAACGAATAAAAACTAAAAATATGAAAAATTGCGAAGTTCAATTTTTAAGGACGACGACAAGTACGGTATTTATGAATTGAATTTTCTAAAACAAGGGAATATAAAATGAGACTTTATATTTTTTTATTTAAATTAAATTTTTTATAAATATAATTAACTCAAAAAATTAACGGTGAATAAGTTTTTATTTGTTTATTTTACATTTTTAATAGTAAAATATTATGTTCCGATGCTTCAGTTTTCTCATATCACAGAAACCGTGTGTAAGTTTCAACTGTTCCTTATTCTGCTTCAAGAAAACTCAATTCAAATGGTAAGGTGGAGACTATGCAGACCTTGTACAGTGTGAATGAAAGTATATTATTGTCATGATATTCATGCATTATTTGTAGGTATGACATGGACAGTACTATCACAGTGTGAACTAATAAAAAAACTATATATATATATATATATATATATATATATATATATATAAAATTGACATCATATTAGAGGTGGATGAGAAATTTTAATTAATTGATTAAACTTGTGACAACTGGAAAATAGAAAAAGCTTAATCAGTTTAAATATCGAATCAATTAAGTTAAAATTTCAATTTCAAATATTAAAAACAGTCTGATGTTTAATTTGTAAAAATTATCGATACTTGACTTACTTAACTATTTATATTTAGCTCTTTAAAAAAAATTCACATCCAACTCATGTAACTTCATTAACTTTGATTTTTATTCTACTAAAAGTGTATTCTTATTTCACGGTATAAATGTTACACATATTATTACTAAAATAAGTTACCGTGTTACATGCATATATAGACATGGAATACCCTCTTTTATTGTTAGAGGAGAGAGTTAACGTGAATAATCTATCCATTAAGAGTAAAATTTATAGTTAGGAGTTGAGCATGCCAACAAACTATACAGTGAAGCATCAAACTATTGAAATACATTAAACATCATCCATCTCTTGAAAGGTTCAATCCAGCATTATGTAGAATGCATAAAAATAGCACTTTAATATATTCTTCTCATTACAAAAATTCTAAAGGCAAGTATGTCACTCCTGTAACGAGTCTAATTCATAATAAATAGAAATTACTAGTCAATTCAATTATCAAAACAGAACAATTTCAATACACGCAGTCATATGTATATACTCATTATATCCCTACTCATGGCACCTGCAATTACCATCACACTTCAATAGTTTCCTACAACATCCATATATAGTGGTTACTTCATTTCAGCAAGGTACAACATAACATGTATGTTCATTAATAACCAACCATATCAAAGTAGATATTGCGGGTCACACAAAGGTATATCGAAGTATCAAAGCATTCACATGTGATCATCAAAAGGGTTATCTAAAGCATCCATCTAGACAAATCCATAAGCATATATACATCAAAATAGACCCCTAGTACATAGTCTTTCAAAAAGTAACAATACAACCCGTCCTATGAGCAGTTTCAAAATCCATGACAATATACAATCATAATTAAAACTCTATCGAAAGAGAGTCTTCACTGGACCAGATTCTATTCCACCAGAAATAGACGGGTCGTTCCCATTTGAGGTTGAAGGGGAGAAGGCTGCTCATTGTCACTATCTACCCATCTAACCGTGGGAGGTGGAGAGCGAGACTAAGGTGGTGGTTGTGATGGATAGCGTATGGAAGATCCAGCTTCATATGGAGGTGGAGGTGGAAGAGGGAGCACTAGTAGGGTGAGATGGTATAGGTCGAATGGAAGATTCGATGATAGAGATGTCCTTCCACTCGGGCTCAAGTACAAGTTCTGGTTAAGAAGTAGGTGGGGTTTTAGAATCCATAGGAGCCTTTCTCTTTCTGGGGTCTCTAGGAGGGTTTGGAATTTGTGCATGTACGGAAGGTAGGGAAGATGAAAGAGGAACAGAAAAAGGGTAAATAAGTCTTAGCCTATCATAGTGGCATGTAAATCTCAGCAAGGAGGCTATTGTTCTAATAAGGCTTCCAGCCCTCGTCATTTATGGGTCCCATGCCCATGGTCACTAGTCCTTTGAATATGCGATGATGTGTTTGGGGATTGTAGAGCCACATTTCCTTGTTGCTGTCTAATATCCATATCTTCGCCTAATCGATGCTCATTTGGAAATGCATGAAACAAACAAAACAAGAAAGGAAAACAAAAGAAAAAAGGAACAAGCAAAAAGATAAGTCCCAAATAATAAGAATGATTTACACAATACTCACAATAGAACACAAAGGTTAATTAAAAAAGAACTTCATTTCATCAAAGAAACAACACCAAATTAAAATACTATTAAATATGTTGTATGTTCATAAGTATTTCAATGAAACTATGAGATGTGATGCATGCCACTCACAGCCTATACTTCCTCCAATTTTCATCTTTCCTCAAGTCAAGGTGGTCGGAGGTCCTCATTCCTTCATTGATTCAATATTCAACATTTAGGAATGAGCCTACCACTATCCTTAGTAATGAGTGTCCAAGTCGGGATTAGTAAGGGCTTGTCGGCAATGTGACTCAGTCGCGGTGAGCTACTCCATGCCATTGGGTCATCTCCCCTTCACTACCCCCAAGGTTATTCTATGAACCTAAATACATGCATTCCTTAGTTGTGCCACATTGTTGCCTTGACCTTCCTTTGTCCTCACATTGATGATGCGGTGAATGAAAAATAAATATATTACTTTTATTTCAAACTATGCAAGCTAACTTATAATGGTCATCAATAATTTGCACGCACCACTCATAAGTAATAATCAGACCTAAACAAAATAGCACATGAAATGATATATCAAATTTTAAATATGTAGGATGACAAGGTTGGGCAGCGTAATGGAGGATGCTCGTCCTTTAGTTTTCTCAAGGTGTCGTAGATAGCGTAATTTCATTTATGAAGGGAAACTGCATCAAGGTGAGGTGAATCTCTTTATATAGATGGATTTGAAACGCAAGAATAAAAGAAAGTAGAGAATTGTCAGTCCAGCTCTTGTCCTTATGGGACTTTAATTTTCTAATTAAGAGTTACAAAGAAAAAGGAAAAAAAAAAAAAGAACAACCACCACCTAATCAACACTAACTAGCCTCTTTCTCTTTTCATTATGTCACGTGACACTTTAATTCCCCATCCTCCCCCTTATTCCATTACTCTTTGACATTTCATTTATGACCTAACTCCTCGAGTAGTATGATA